ATAATGTACGCCAATTCGTATGCGCCTTTCCTGGATACGATCCTGAAAAGGGCCTAGGCACTTTTAGCCGTTGATACACTGTTGGATATAATAAAAACATGGCGGAAAATTGAGAACGCCCAGATCAAAGGTGCCGACAGAGAGTGGGCATACTGGTTATACTGTGACGTGACCGCGAGGGGACGCGAGGGCGCGCTGTAACGAAACAGCGGGACGCGCGAAGCCTTTCAAATTGTATGCCGGTTACGCAACGAGGGGCCCCAAGTGCCGTTTTCGTAATTTTCAATTCCGCATGGCAAAGTGCGATCGTAAGGGCCTGGCGGTGTGTCATGCAAAGACAATTCGACTCTTACGTGTAAAAAAGACGTATGTAACGCGCAGAATTGTATTTGAGGAAAAATTACAGTTCGGTAAATAGCGCGAAACTTTTATAGATATAAATTATTGTATATTTATTATAAAGTCCCCCAATACGAGATAGCGGAGTTTCTGCTAAATTGAATAGGCATCATCTGTCGGTTCCGCCACGAATTCATTGCCCTTGGAGTGAAATCTGTTTGGTGGAAAATTGATTCGCGGATCGTGTAATCGTCTGCGATTGAATTTCGACGTTAAAAACTTACTGTCTCATAATAGAGGACTCTCTTTCCTCTATAATTATTATACAGCGTTTTCTAGTATAAACACTTCAAAATACTCACGACTGAGGTTCTCGCTACGAGATACGAGTGCGATTAGCGCGATTAGGGATTTGGCTGATCCATCCATGACACGCGGACACGACGCAATAATCCTTTTTGACTTTAATCCAATTTTCTTCCGCTGGTATTTTCCGCGGTTAAAAACTCACGGACGCCTCGCCGTACTGAAAACCATCCGCGGTGTATTGATTTAAACTCGACGATACAAGATAAGTACAATTGATTAATTTGCCAACTCGCTACTAAATTTTTCAGGGCTATCCCGACCATTTTTCCGAAAGATAAGACACTCGTGGAAACAACGTAGACAATAATGGAGCAATGACGATCACCCCCGCTGCAGTTCATCACAATTTTATTGTGCAGTAAACTTTACATTCCATTACGGAGATGCGTACAATTAATATAATAGCAGAGATATTTTTCGACAACAAATTTCTGTGTGTGTGTGTGGCAGAAGAATAACATTGCTTGAATACCTTTTTGAACACTGTACAGATATCGAAACAATGACTGCCGATTGCTGTACCGCATGAATTCGCGAAAGTCTGAGGAGTCGATGGGAGAGCGATGGAATTTGTGCCGACATTTCGTGCGGAAAATTTCATGATGCTAACGCCATACATAACTGAACGCACAGAACTCAATTCTCGCGGGATTCACATATACCGATTTGTAGTATTAATTTAAGTATCGAATAAAATACATGATTTTTCTCTAACGAGCCGAATTGGAGTTATTATTAGAATTATTGGGTTAATTACATAGAAAGATAATCGGGTAAATATACATTTAGCTTCGCAGCTTTCTGTAGAAAACAATAAATATATATTAGTATATATAATATATATATCGATTCTTTTTCTCTCTCTCTCTCTTTCGTCTTATATTAATATAGAATCGCTACATTATAATATATATATGTATATATGTCTTATTTTCTCTTACTCTTGGAAATAACTGATTTTTTTTTGTAAATCCGAAGAAATGCTGTAAGATCCACTATACGTTATTCCGCGTAAATATTAATATATGTAAACATTTGCAATACCTTTACACAAAGGTAGATATACGTACGACTTTATCCTTGTACAAAAACAGCTCGGTATGATTAAGGGGTTCAGATATTCTGCATTCTTTAGGCTTGCTAGTCTTATTGAATACTTCCCCTTTTTGAAAAAAAAGAAAAAAAAGAAAAGAATTATATTTTCTGTCCCCTTTTCCCTTCGGGAAGAAGGCAAAGAAACTGTTTCAATATTTTCTTATTATCCTCACGCATTCGTTAATCCGTCGCTCTACCAATTAAACCCAACGTAACGTTGCGTGAGGATAAATTGAATATAATCAGATATTTCGGTAAGATTTTGACATGAAGAACGATTCCTCCTTCGCAAACTTAAATAACAGTAGCGATTAATGAAAATGTTTAATTAAGTACATTTAAATACAATCAGTAAAAGCACTTTTGCGTATAATGATAACATAATAAATGAACTTTATACATATACTGTGTATATATGTATAGAGTGTATATATCAATTAGTATATCATATTAATAACGTAGCGATGTAACGTGATATATATTCAGAATAATCTTAAATGATTTCAGAACCATTTTATATGCTTAACAATTTATGTACAATACATACACAGGGCCTTCCCTGGTCTATCTCATTATAAATTAGTGGAAAAATAATGCTGCTTTGGCCATGATCTGCGCATCGGTAATTACGAACTACATTTTCGTTGCTAATACCTACGCTTTTGAATGTGTGTTTCATAGTAGTCTTCAAAATAGTCAAAAAATTCTAATTATACACAGAGTTTATCATCGAAGTGTATATACTCCTAGAAAAATCTCATCTCGAATAATGCATCGATCGTTATACCATAATATAATCCTTTATTATAGTCTGCCATTCATTAATAGTAATAGATAACATTAATACTTTGATTATTATCACTGTATGAGGATGATTTGTATAAAGCAAGTAGCCATTGCTTATTCAATAAATGGAATCAATTACTTTCAAATTCATTTCACATCTTGGGGATTTTTTTTTACCGAAATTTGTGGTGATTATTCGGTTTTGCGCCATCATAAGAAATATTGAATTTACTCATATTATAAAATATCAAGCATCTTTTGACTTCAATATCTCTTCATATTACATCAAATAAAAGAGATTTCCGACTGAGGAATACATTATAAAGTGTATAAAAAGTGGATGCATCGAATTATGAATATAACGTTCGAATGGAATGGCTCGGTAATTCATATGAATATTCATTGTATGTGTATTGAAAATAACTTATAATGTGTAAATGCCAATTAAAAACACACATATATATACATATATGAATTATATCATGTGTAAATGTAAATTAAGAACAGGATGATACACACGCATGGAATGTGTAACTTATACATAAGTGGGCTTTTTCCTTTGAAAGTGGCTATTTATCAGTTCGTTTAAATTGTAATAAACGTACTTTTGTTCCAAATTAATTGCTAATGCAAATATTAACTTCACGTCAGCCTCCACATTTGGAATATAATTTCAATGTACAAGCTGACTAGCGTTATCGGGAATAACATTTACTCACAAATCCTCTCTTTATCATGCCAATTAATAAAATATTTATATCTATGTTCTATGTATATGTATAGCGTGTGACAAATAAGATAATTACAAGGCCATATAGCAGTACCGCAGAGCATTCTGACAAAGTTAGTATTTCTATGCTACTTTTAATATGTTTTGAAGATAGAAATTTTAGTCCAGAATCATTATTCTAGCTATTCAAGTACTAGGATAAATTAATTTAAAGCTTAATGTAAAATATACCCTTTGCGTCTAGAAACATTATATTTTGTAGTCAATAAGTACGTTTCAAAAATTTGCGCAAGTGAATAAATTGTATATTATACACTGTACAATCGTACATTGTCGACAAATTTTTCAAGCGTTTCGACTTGCCTATATAAAACAGAATGTTTCTAGATGCAAAGAGCACATTGTAGATTAGGCTTTAAGAAAGTGCTGTACAATGTAAATAGCTGTC